CATAATTACTATAAAACCATCACATTCATGAAATTAATATTAATATATTATTACAATCTAGTCCTTAGGTCCCACACAGTGTCCCAAGAATGCCCTTTAGGGCAAAAGGATCTAGTTCAAAGTCATGCATCACATTAGGTTTTACATGTCTTCAGTCCTGTGTACTTTGGGAACAGTTAGGTCCTCAGTGTTTCCTTGACTTTTCATGATCTTAAAATTACATGCCAGTTATTTTTTAGAAAGCTCCTCCATTTTGGGTTTATTGTAAATGCCCCATTCCTCCTCAAGCTTTTTGGGTTATTTCTATCAATATGGAGTTGTAGTATCCTATGTTTTAATCAGTCTCTATCATTTATTTTCATGCTCAAATTGTCCTCAATTTGACCTGTGTGAATCCTTTCAACTGGTTCTTATGTCTTTTTTACATGTCCCCAGCAGTTGCGGATCACATCCTTGCTTTCTGCAGTAAGATATTCCAGACTGATCTTACATTTCCCTTTCCTCACCCCTGGTCATTTCTCCAAGGAGCTCTTACTCCTTTTGGTGAAAAATGGTACTTAGAAGCCAAAATGTAAATGTTGACTGTGCTCATTGCTATTAAGATGTTGCTTTTCCTATGCCTTCTCAGTGAATAGAGCTGTCTGTGTTTGTGTGTATGTGCTGAAAGCTATGAGTTCATGTCAATATGTGCTATCCCAAGACAACATCACAATGTTCATTCTAGTTTTCTTTTTCTCCACAGTTTTTACTCGCTTCTCAGATAGTGAAAAATCTGACTCCTATTGTCTTTAATATGTTTACTTACTTAAGTTCCCTCCATGTAACCATTTCCAGCACCCCTTTATCCCCATAAGGTTGCCCTCCTCTTCGTATTCTGACACCCTGCCTCAGGCTTGCTCCCCTCAGCCTGTACTCACACTTAGTGCCAGGCCATTCCTCTACAGGGACAGCCTTGCCATCTTGCCTTGGCTCTGAAACCTTGGGGCAGGCTTCTCCTCCAGGTGTATGACCTTCTCCTTCTATTCAGCCTCTGTCATCACATGAGAGGCTGTCCCAAGTTTGGACGCTTTCCTCACACGATATGGGTTCTGATTCTCTATGCCAGGCAACCCTTTTAAATGTTTGGACTTCAACTTCCTACTCTGGGCTTCCTCAGCTACCCTAGTCCACCAGCATGGATGACTACCTTATTCTGATGGGTTTTAGTGCCACATTGTCCAGGAAGGGAGGGGAAAGAAAGGAAAAAGTTATGGGAAAAGGAAGAGGAAAACAATGAAGAGACACATATTATTTTCCAGTCCTCACAATAAGCCTTCAAAAGAGCCATGTTCTTCTCCACTTTACGCTTGAGGAAACTGTGGCTCTGAGAGATGAAGTCATTTGCCCAAGGTCTCACAGCCAGCATGTAAGGAGCCAGCATCTGAACCCATGTCTGGAAATGCTGTCCATTCCACCACACTGCCTCTAAAAAGAATGCTTTCAAAATATGTTTGGTCTTTGGATTTCCCCCAGTGTGTAGCATAATGTTTGAAGAAAAGGAATGCAGTTCATTTGAGAAGCAATAGGTTGTATTCATTTCATGAGGGTAGTGTTTCTACCACTTGGTCTACTTGCCCATCCCTTTTGCAAGTAGGCTTAACAGAAACATGGCTTTGTTTGGCTCCATTGCCCAGATGGGGCAATGAGGCTGAGACTCTGGTAGCCAGTGATGCTCAACCAGCAGTCTCACTGCCTACCCAGTGGTGGTGTCAGCCTTCTGTGGGTGGCACTTTTGAAATGAGTCATCTGTACAAGTTTGCCAACCCTTGTCCTCTCCTCCCCAGCTAGCTTTACACTTTCTGCCGCAAGGGAACTTTGCAAGTTTCAGAGATTTTAAGTGGAGAAATAAATGCTAAATCTAGAATGAGGAAGGGAAAATATTTGCTCTGATGTCAAACACACCACTACAGAATACAGTAGTCTTAATGCTTTTCATACCAAAAGTTCTGAGGGCTGGCATATACATAGGATTAGAGTGTATATATTGTGAAATGAAATTTTAACACTATTCTGTAACTCATTTTTTAAATACTTACTTGTCAGTGTCTTTGGGGTCTATGTAAAGAACTCCAGAAAACATTCTATCAAAATGGAAGACAAAAAAAGAATGAAAGCCTCTATTTGCATAAAATAGCAAAAGAAAAATTGCCAAATAAATTTCATTTTCCCCAGATTTAAGCATCTTTTGAGAAGAAAAATTTGATTTGAAGTTTTTCAGGTATAGCGTATGAACTATCACAAAATCTTAAAGCTGGGAGAAATATCCTAGAATTTATGGTATGTCCATGCCTCACGCTATGAAGCAACAGAGGCACAGAGAGAAGTCGCTGGGGGATACCAGAGGCACAGTCTGCGATTGTGTGTCTGTGTGTGTTTGTGTGTGTTTTACACTTGGAAGTAACCCCCCCTGGAAATGAGACAAGAGACAAAGCTAAAACAAGTATAGTTCCAGTCACCAAGGCTTAAGCTAAGGTCTAAAACTAGGCTGCTTCCTGATTTTTATTTCTGTGACCAGAGCAGGTTTCCTCGTGAAGAACCATGTGACTGAAACTTTGACATCAATCCCCTTTTTACAGTGTACAAATCCCAAGAAAGGCAAAACGCAGATACTAAAGTGTGAAATTTGAATTTTTTAGACAAGGTATTTTATTTTCATAAGTTTTAAAATAAATTTAATAAAATTTTTAAAAAATTATAATTTTTATAAATTTTATAACATTTTATAAAATATTTATTTATTGATTCCAGAGAGAAAGAGAGAAACATTGATGTGAGAGAAATATCAATTGGTTGCTTCCCATACATGCCCGAACTGGGGACCAAACCCACAGCCTAGGTATGTGCCCTGACTGGGAATCAAACCTTATGGACCAACGCTCCAACCAACTGAGCCACACTAGCCAGGGCCAAAATTTGAATTTTAATTCGCTGTTGGCTTTCAATCTTAGGATGAATTAATATTAGTTCATTCCTTTGGGAATTTTTCCCCTTAAAATTGGAATTTTTTTCAGGAATAAGGATCATTAATTCAGCATGTTATCACTTGAAGTAGTATAATCTTAGGATGCAACTTAATACTTGCCTGTATTTGCCACTACTTTAAGTTGGGTGGCTTTTTCCCCAAGACATTAGGTCACATGATACTATTTCTTTTAATCCTTAGGGAGTGTCCTAAAATGTCATGTTATGCACTAGAAAAGCCTACCCATCCAGCACACACATACACATTGCTGCCTAAATTTATATTAGCGAGAAAAACTTTTAAGAAGCTAGCAGGTTTATGAAATCCCATGGGAGGCTCTCCCTCAAAGGATCTAGTTAGTTTCTAGGTTTCTAGTTAGAAACCAGAAAACAAATATTATAATATAAAATAAGGTTTAATCATGTGTATCTACTCTTTTTTTACCACTACCGTCTGCACACTTAGAGCAACTGGAACCAAAATGATTTTCTTAAGTATTTCAAATAGTTATTACTCCTGAGGAATTATTTGAAAGGGTTCCCCAAAATACTTTAGGTTAATTGATGTGTATAAACAATCTAATTAACATTAAATTTTACTTATTTTGTTGGTATTTAGGAATCTCAAACAGAAGTTGTTCTGGGTGTTTCTCTTCAGATCCTTTCTAGATATTTAGTTTTATTTCCATATTCAGATTACACCTTTTCATTTCCTTATTTTTTTTTCAGTTCCCCATTCTGGCCTGTTGTTCCCCAGCCCTGCTAATGCAGGTTGGGTCAGGGGAATCCAAGTGTCTGGGAAACACTGAAGACGGATGGCCATTTACAGTAAACCTTGACTTGAATTGGTCACCAAGCCCATCATATCTGTCTTTTAGGCCATTTATTTTCTCCTTTTACTCAGAATAAATTGCTCATCTTTAGAGCATAATAAAATCCAATGAGAATCTTATTCTCCATTCTCCCTGTAGGGAGGGATGCGTCATTTTTTTCTTTAATAACTCAATCAATGAAAATTTAGGAATACTTGCTCTGTCTGTGTCACTGTATCACCCAGCACTGTACCCTCCCAAAGAGTTATAAACTGCATTTGGGTCATTGCTATTGGCTCTCCTACCTCTCCTGCTATATCTATCTGCCATTCGACTTGCTTAATAAATCCCAGCTCATTTCAGGTTCTTCTACCAACTTGCTCAGTGTTTTTTTTCTAATAGTGTGGGATACCAAACAAAATAGGTATATATTTGTGCTGTTGACTTTGCACCATGTTTTCCAGGAAGCCTTTGAGTCATAAAAAGGGGGAATATACACACTGGTTTCTATGGTTATTATTTGCCAACTTCTACCTCTTGCTCTTCTCATTATGAAATTACGGTCTAATTTTTTTCCCCAATGACAGTCCTGGATATTATCTATTAAACTCTTTCCATGGCTACACATTTTTAAAACACCATTTTAATGGACTGGATGGAGTGGAGAGTGAGAATTTTAGCAAAGATTTTCACTACATAAGTCAATTATTTCTAGTTTTTCATAATTATATCCTGCCTTTTTTATTCATTATTAAGAACATTGATGTGGAATTAAATGTTTTCCTCTATTTTTATCTTCAAACGACCTTCAGTTGCTGCTTCTGCATATTGCTAGATTTATTCCAACTTCTTACACTGGAGTCACAGTTTAGCTTCAACTTGGAGCCAAATGCCCCACAGCTGAAATGACCGCACCTCTGAAGCGGCATTTTCCCAGGCCATTCGTGCCTTTAATAATGAGCCAGCCAGGAGGCAAGTTTGTATCTCATTACAAGAGAGCCTTGTATTAGGCCTGGTGCATAATTAGATGTGAGGAATTACAATTGGTTCTCTCTTTGCAAGATCTTTCAGCACCAAGTCTATGCTTAAACCACTACTTTTATTTTTAATCTAATGATTTTGCCTCTTTTTCTCTCTCTCTCCCTCCATCCCTCTCTCTCTTTCTCCCTCTCAATAACAACAATAAAGACACCAAGGAAGTTCAGAGATTTGCGGTTTTAAAAAGACTGGATGCCGAAAAGATTTTCACAAGACGCTTCAGAAACAGACGTTTGAGTCGGAAACCTTGGAGTGCAGTGAACCCAGAGCTCAGGTATTTCCTATCAACAAACCTGGTTACCAGGTTACTGGCTGTTCTGTCCAGGGTTTTATTAACTAGTAAAAAGGCTAAGTTCATAGAATATTAGAGTAGGAGGAACTCTACCATCTGAGTCAGTGTTTTTTTTTTTTCAGACTTGTTTGTAGCCATTGACATCTGTGTTCAAATGAAAACCCAGAAGCTCAGTAATTAAAATAGATAAAAGTGGAGGGGCTCTAGCTGCTGGGGGGAGCCCATTGGGCCCTGTCCCTTTAACATTCCTGTGGAGACTCAAAGATGCCCCTCAGCAGGCTGCAGAGTGATTAAAAGCTCCACACTGAGCCAAATGGCCGGGATTCTCTGTGATTTACCACACCTACCTCTGCATTCTCGAGCAGGATAGCTGAGCTCTCCAGGCTTCAGTTTCCTCCCCTGGAAAACAAGAGGGATAATAGTAACAAACACATGAAGTTGTTTGAGTATCAAATGAGTTAATATGCATAAAGCTCTTAGGACCATGTCTCTTCTCACACTTAGTGCGCAGTGAATATTGGCATCTGTTGTTGTTTTTGTTACTATTATTATGATCACAGACTAGTTATAGTTTAAAAGTCAGCTCTATACACCTGTGTTTATGGCAGCATTATTCACAAGAGCCAAAAGGTGGAAACAACCATGTATCCATGGACAGATGAATGGATAAACAAATGTGGCATACATACTCAATGAAATACTATTCAGTCTTAAAAAGAGGGAAAGTTCTGACAGGTACCACAACATGCATGATCCTTGAAGCCAATATACTAAGTGAAATAAACCAGTCACAAAAGAACTAATACTGTATAATTTCATTTATATGAGGTACCTAGATTAGTTGAATTCATAGAGAAAAAAAGGCGAATGGTGGTTGCCAGGGGATGGGAGAGGAGGAAATGGGGAGTTATTGTCGAATGGGTCTAGGATTTCAGTTTTGCAAGATGAAAAGAGTTCTAGAGATTTTTTTGCACTACAGTGTGAATGTACTTAACACTACTGAGTTGAATACTAAAAAATGGCTAAATAGTAAATGTTGTCATGTATCTTTTACCATGATTTTTTAAAATTGTAAAACCAGTGCTCTAGTCCAATCTGCCCATTTTATAATTGAAGAAAATAAAACATAGAGGAAGAAATTTGTCCAAGGTTGATAGGACCTCTTAAACAAGTATAGTTTTTAGCTTTCAGGAGCTCTCATAACCCAAGCACCTTACCATGCTTACTAGAAGGTTTTAAAATAATACCTATTTTTCTAACAACATGGTCTCTACAGTCATGCAACTCCCTAATCTGAGGTCTACAGAGGAATCAGCCATCATTCCAGTGCTGAGTATGATGGGCTTATTGAGGCCTAGAATATCTGTATGTTGTACTCTGTGGGATATTTAAGGGACTTTTCCATCGGTAATTTTGACTAAGTTGTCACCGTACATGCTGACCAAGTAAATTGTTCCCATATCAGTCAGGCAGAAGCCACATTAGATACGTTCGCAGAAGACATTAACACAGGAAATTGATTAAACAGGTTTTGGAGGACTGAGAGAACCAAAAGGGAAAAGTAAAATCATGCAGAAATCATAACTTCAGGAAACAGCACACCCCCCTGGGCCTGGGGTCTAGGGCAGTGGTTCCCAAACTTTAGCCTCCTCTGAATCCCCTGAAGGGCATGTTCAAACACAGATTGCTGGGCCCCACCCCAGAGTTCCTGACTCACTAGGTCTGGAGCAGCGGCTTGAGAATTTGCATTTCTAATAAGCATTTCCCAGGGGCTGCTGATGGTGCTGGTCCCGGGACCACTTTTGAGAACCATGGGTCTAATGGGAAGAGCTTGGAGGTCAGAACCTAGCAGCTCAGAAGAGGGGCCTCAGAGCTAGGACTCAAACTTCCGAGGAGGGGGTGTGGCCCAGCAGGTGGTGGTATCTCACGGTTGCAGAGGAAAGACCTCAGAGAGGCCGGAAGTGTGGATTCAGACCTCCTAGGAGGAGGAATTGCCTCGCTGGTCTGGTGCCTCCAAAGAGGTAAGATGAGGCTGGTTCTGGAAGTGCCAAAAGAAGCTCAAGGCAAAAGCAACAGCCACTGTGATAGCAAAAGGGACTGTCGCAAGGCAAAAAAGCAGAGGAAGGGGTCATTCTCTTCTCCCAGCTGCAGCCATCCAGTCTCCCGATAGCATCCCCTATTGGCATAATTTAAATGGAGCAGCAGGCAAAGCAGAAATGTGATTTGCTGAACATAGACCTAGCATTACAGAATCACACAAAAGGACGAATTTAGAGCTGAGAGACAACAGGTGAAGGACCAGCACACTCATAAAGCACACTCATTTTTCCAGCAGACTAACAGAGCACTCAGTGAAATCATTGGCTAAGTTTCAAAGCCAAATTATACAAACATTATGTTTTTGAGAATTAGACTAACACTCATTCTGGAGAGGTATTCAGAACATGAAATGACCAGCAACATCTTTCCTTTCATTCTCAGTCTTACATAACTTATTCAGTGGCATGGTGAGGCCAGACGCCTGAATTTACATAAGTTAAATATATGTGTGATATGACTCCAGGGTACTCATATATTTTGTAAAATTATGTCAATTTTATATTGACCCGATCACAGTATATTGTACTGTTAATATGAAAAAGGAAGTTATTGCATAACTGTAAGGCTCCTCACAGATCATCTTATTTTGTCGTTTTAAAAACCAAGTTCTGGAGTTGAGATTAGGATGAGGTCCTTCTATTCCCCAGTCGAGTCTCCTTTCTGTCACACCCTTTTCCGGTGTGTTCTGCTTGAATGTGAGACATGAACATGGCTTATAAGACACTTGCCTCCCAATCTCCGGAAAAGAACACACCAAAAACAAACAGGAACATGGTGCTGTTTTCAAACCTTTCCTCAAGGACAGGTTTATCTACATCTGATGAGTAAACCTCTTCCCAGGTGGGAAGCAGAGGTTTAACTTTAGGGTGTTCGGGCCAGGAAGCTAAGATGTAATTCTTGTCAAACCCCTTCAGCTTAGAAACTCTTTGAGGACTTATCCTATAATTGCACATTGGAGCAGTCTTGAGACACCCCAGATTGTTTAGTTCTCATTGTAGATCCACGATCTCTCTCACAAAGATGTGTCTTTTCTCACAGGCAGGCCCCCACCACTTAAGCGTGCTGTGTGATGTGTCTGGAAAAGGCCCCCTCACTGCTTGTGACTTCGATCTCCGCAGCCTGCAGCCTGACCAGCGGCTGGAAAACCTCCTGCAAAGTGTGAGTGCTGAGGACTTTGAGAAGAAGAACGAGGAGGCCCGGAGGACCAACCGGCAGGCTGAGCTCTTTGCCCTTTACCCAGCTGTGGATGAGGTGGGTGCGACCGTCTCCATGCTGGGGAATTTCAGTGAAGATGCAGAGGGTCTCTGGGAAAACAGTACTCTTTATTATTACCGTGGAGCAACGTCAGGATGCTTAAGTGTATGATTTCTGGAGCTGCTTACTAAGGCAAGCCTGCATAGTAGCAGAGGCAATTATTAATCAATTTTACACAGAAGATACCAATAATAACTAGGACTTTCATAGCACTTTATGAAACACTATCACTGATAGTATCTCATTTAATATTCAAAACGTTTCAAGGGTCTACATGCAGTAATCCCACTCAGTTATTTTGGGATATGTTTTGCAGTTAATCCATCAAGACATACATTACTTCAACCTTGATGTTCTTTAGTGCTTTGTTAATTCTTTTTTAATCTTCAGACACATTTCAACCCGAACTATCACAGCCATGGTCCCAGTGCACAGAACATTAGGCTGTTTATTGTCCACTTCTTTATATACTAGACCTGATCCAGAACAATTTGATAATTTAGGCTTTGCCTGTGGTCACTCCTCAGGGCACTTCAGATGGGATGAAGGATGACCATTATTCAAGGCTGTCTCAGCTCCTTATACTTTGTATTAGGCTCTCAGTCTTCCTTTCTGCATGTCAGAATACCTGTACTTCTGGGTTTTGCCAGAACAGATTACTGCAATATCTCTGCTGTCCAAATTTTATTGAAAACTCAGTTGCAAGGAATATGATTTGGGGAAATTTTGCATAGAAGATATGCTATCCATCTATGTCTCTAAGTATTTGAAATCTGATCTTTGGATCAAGCAAGACCATCAGGGAACCGGATTCTTACACCTTGTGAAGCCCCCACCCATAAGAATTGAGGCCTTTTCATGAGCTCACCACTGGTCAGCAAAAGGGACAATAAGGGAAACAGCAGTCATGAGATACGATATTGTGTCCACTGTGTAAATATGATTGAGGACATTGACCTACTTATCATCCAACACCAACCTCAATAAGGATCCGTGGGGAAATTGTCTCTCAAGCCTTCACACAAAGAAGAATTGTGCTTCCACTGAGAAAATGTGTGTACTTCAAGATTGTGCACATCTTGTAATCAACTCTCCTAAATTCTTCACTTAGTGTCAACTTTCTGTTCCCCTCTACTCAGTCTGGGAGCTTACTTATTGGTGTCCTCAATTTACTTCAACTTTCTTTTTTGCTTACTCTTATTTTTCCACTACCTTTGTTTGCTCACCTATTTTATTTGTAGTCTTGTGAGTGGCCTCAAGTCCTTTTCTGAATGAGGCAGATTTAAAAAATAAATATAAATAATGTGGAAAATGTTATCTCCATTTTTTCAGATTGCAAAGAAAGAATCAGAGAGGGTAAATAACTTGCTCAAGGATCAACAGGCAAATTAAATTATAGGATGGAGATCCTAAACCATTAACTCTAAATTTTATGTTTGCCTGTTTACTTATCTACATGTGACTACCAGGTAGATTGGCACACATAATTGAAATCCAAAGATGATATAAACAACCACATTTTATCTAAAAACTTTTTAGTTTCCATCTACAACTTTAAAACCTTTTAACAAATTTGTCCAAGACATACTAACTTTGGCTGACTCGACCTTTACTTGCATTCCCCTTCCTCCCAATTCCATGATGGAGGTGCCAGTGTGTAATAAGGAGACCCACAGTAGGCACCAGAAGAGAGAAAACAATTAAAGTATGGGGAGACTACTTCCAGTGAGACATCTACTCATTAAAGCTTCCCTCAATGGATTAAACAGAGAATATTCAGTATGAATTGATTAAAGGAGAGAATAATAGACTGTTTTGAAGGAATTTTGTTTTATGGTCTCTGAACAATGCTGAAACTCAATTGAAATTGAAAGTTATAACCTAGCAGAGGTTCTAATGGGACCCACCCTATTGAGTGGGAAGAATGCCTTGTGATTAGTGTACCAGTTATTTGTAAATTGGTATGTCTAAAATGTTTGAGTACCCCTATACCAGCCCTTTAATATGTTGTAGTTGCATTTGTACTTGTAATTTATACTTGCTTCAAAGAAAGTCCTGTGGAAGGAAGGTAAATTTCTGACCTACCATGAAATGATTAAATATGCTGAATTTTACTAACACATTAATGAGATTATTTTATGTTATCATTAATTTATTTCTTGGTGAGCAAAGTTAGAAGAGAGGTGAACTATTACATCAAAATTATAACTGAGTCTAGAGGAGAGATAAAAGTAGAATTCAACCACTAAGTTAGACAAGGTGAGTTCTTTCCCTGGTTCACTGAGCCTATAGAAGGTGTTGTCCTATGTGTTGATCCCTATGAAAGTTGCCAGTATATTTCAAATCACTGAAGAGTTTGTATTTTGGTTGCAGCTGACAGGATCCAACTAAAGTCAGTTAAAAAATTGCGGGGGGTGGTACTTATTGGCTCACATAATGAAATTACAGGTAGGCAGATGTAGAGTTGGCCTCAGGATTCATTGGGCCAACTGATGGAAACATGTCATCTCTCTTGTTATCTTTCTCTCTTACAATCTCATTCTCTCTCTCTCTCTCTCTCTCTCTCTCACACACACACACACACACACACACACACACCCCTCCTAGGAAGATAAAAACAAGAACACTAAAACTTTACATTTCTTCTTCTGCTTCTTTGGGAATTTGTTCCTATTTCAGATAACTATAAAGGCTCAAGAAATTCATATAGGTTAGAAGAAACTTAGGGAACACATTAATATATATACATTGCTTGAATCCTGACTATAAAAACTAACTGAAAAAAATTAAGAAAGTTGGGGAAATTTGAGACTAATTACATATTTAATGACAACAAGAAATTTTTGATAATTTTTGAGTCATAATTGTATTACAGTTATGTGTTTTGAAAATTACTTATCTTTTAGAGAGTTGTACTAAACTATTTACAGATGAAATTACAGGATGTTTGGGTACTTGCTTATAAGTAATTCAATACTGAGTGGAGGAAGGTAGTAAGTAGAAGTATAGATGAAACCAAGTTGCCTACCAGTAGAGATTGTTGAAGGAAGTTGATGGGTGAAGGTGGTTCGTCACATTATCCTCCCTACTTGTATATGTTTACAATTTCCCAAATAAAAAGCTTTTAAAGAAAATATTGAATTCAGACCTCATGTAGTCTTAGAAATCAATGAGTGTCTTTATGTTGAGGTGGTTTTCCAATAAAAGTTACCTTCCCTCTCCAATGTATCTGTTCTGATCACCCTAAAAAGTTCCAGCTTCCTCTGAGGGAATTCAGCTCAGTGCAGGCATCAGAGCTGTGCCCTCTCTGAAACACACTCAGCCACTCCCCCTGACCAGGTGACCAGCTGATGAGCCCAGGATTGGGCCTTGACGGAGAGTAGAGCTTATAGTAGATATGAGTCTACCACTTTGACTATTCCACCAAACTGGGTACAGATTTGCTAAAAAGGTGACTTTACTGCTATTTGTAAAAATGCTCTGGTTACTGTAGGGTGTTTGGTGGGAAGTTCCCATCCTTTATAGCCCAGAAAAATACAATTAGACACGACTCTATTCTTCAGACCCTTGTGAGCTGCAGGCCACCCACCGGTGTTTGCAAGAGGAGGAATTAAAGTTTTCAGGGACTTGCAGTTTACCTTTGCATACATAAATATAATTACTATACAGTGATATTTTAGATTTGAATGCTAAAAGTTACAGGAGAGATTTATTATTTCTCTTTAAGTCTTGAGTCCCAATGTGGTAAGATACAGGTATATCTTCCTATTTTTCTTTACAAAGCCTTTCTATACATAGAACTTCAGCAAGTTTTAGCTAGACATATTTTTATAGAACCTATAAATTCAACCCCAAATCTCTATAATCTGTTTAAGAAAATAATAAACTGAGAAAGACACTCTATTATAGGATTGATGGTTTATAGCCTTAAGTGAACTATTCTGACTCAGACTTCCAGTCCGAAACACACGTATTTACTAGCAAGTCCTTGGCAGGAGAAATATTCTAAATGTGTATTTAGAGCAGGAAAAAAAAAGGCCAACAATCCAACAATAGGTTCAAGATTTTGCAATGCCATCTGGTGGATGTTACTAAGTCATATTCATATTCACATTTCCTTCCTTCCTCCCTCAGTCTCTTTGTCTTAAATGCTTGGCTTTCTGAGAGGAGAAAATATTTGCTGTAAATGCTGACTTGGAAGCTTGGGGGTTAGATAACAAACTCTCTTATAAATGTCAGTGTTATTCCGCTACTGGAAATAAAGCAAACGCAAGTTGAATTGAGCAGTGGATGACAGCCTTCCCTTCCCTGGGTTAACTCCAACTGGAACGCCTGTCATGAAAATTCACTAATGATTTCTTCACCATGTGATTAATAATAGGAGGATGCTGTGGAAATACGTCCAGTGCCAGAATGTCCTAAGGAACATCTGGGCAACAGGCTATTGGTCAAGTTGCTGACCCTGAAGTAAGTATCAGCAATGGGTGACTGCCTGGGGATTATATTGCCTTTTAGATACAAACCGTGTCTTTAACATCAGAGCTTGAATCAGGGAGGATCCCCCAACACATTTAACAGTGGGCAGTAGTGAGGTCATGGAAAGAGCAGAGTTTGGAGCCAGCTAGATCTGAAGGCTGTTCCTACCGAACCTTTGGCAGTCTTTCTTCTATAATGGGGAAGGCACACACTAAGGTTAGACACATAAGGTAATTGAGTGAAATTGCCTCCATGAAGAAAAACAACAGGGAAAGCCAATGGGGTGCTGGAGTCAGCTCTGACTAACTGATGACAGCTCACTGTGCACTTCTCTGTACGTCATACTGGTGGCTTGAAATTGGCCACGGTGGAAGTATTTACAACCTAGAAACCACTTTTTTCAGACACTTGTTTTCTAAACATGTACTCAGTCTACCACTGTTGAAACACAATGATAAATGCATCTAAAACCCAGTCTCAGTGCCAGGAGACAATAAAGAGTAGCGAGGGTAGCAAACTATTTTTAAGGGACACTCATACCTAGGACCACCCCTTGCCATCCAAGTAGACAAGCACATTTTTGGCAATTGTCTGATTTTTGCCCCCCAAAACCTAGGGTTTTTTGCATAATTTTCTTACTTAAAATTTTCTCATTTCCTTTTAAAATACCACACAATTCAAACAAAGCATGCCCGCAGAGTCATCTTGTGGACCAATTATCCACAAGCAGATGACTATGTCGACTACTTTAAAGCAATTGTCTCCAAGGAATTTAATCATTTACTTTTATACTAAAAAAAAGTCACATGTCCTCTATATGTGTGTATTAATTTTAAACTTGCATATTAAAATATTCTATACATTATAAAACATACATAATCAAGAAATTGTAACGGCGGAACTAAGTATTTAAAAATAAATCACTGTATTTTCTTCCTGCGCTAGAGCAGATCATCTTGAATACTCCTGGAGTGTCTGTGCGCCTCTTTTTCCTCTTTGCAGGCTACTGCTTGAGAGACTTAGTTCTCTGACTTCTTCAAATCACAGGCCCTTTTGAAAAAATTAAGTTGTAAAGTACATAAGCGTATTTTTTTAGTTATACATGTGTGTTTTATATAAATTTCTATATTCACATAAAACAAGAAAACATAAAATGAGAAGTTAATAATAGAATTAGTTTATGGTCTTCTGATTTCTAGGCATTACTTTAGATTCTTCTAGAATATTTTAAAGATATAACTACTTTTCTCTTTTTTTTTTTTTATTGTTCAAATACATTTGTCTCCATTTTCCTGCCACCACTTTCCCCTGCCCCACCCACCCCCACCTCCCACCATTTGGCCCCACTTTGGCCCCATGGACAAAGCCAAAGCATATTATTTTTTTATACCCAATTAGGAGGGTTATCCATGTCTTAAAATTAATTCGTAGACCCCTTAAGCAGCACCTGCCATGCAATTAGGGCATCTGGATACTAGATTCAAGGCTTTATTTCAACCCTGAAAACTTCTCTGGGGTTCTGATTCCTTTCCTTTAAACAAAGTTGTTAGACCAGATAGTCTCACAGTTCCTACCTGTTAAAAACTTCTAATTCTAATGCATAGCCTCCCCAGTTCCTCTCCTCAGAACACAAGCCAGCATGACTGCTCACCCAGTTGTGGATACTTTTTTTGATGTTGTAGCCCCCGCCCACTAGCCAATTCTACCAGTGGGTAGAAAGGGGCGGTTGGGACCTTTCGTCTTGTGCCCAGAGATGAGCAATGAGCCAGCTCTCATCTCTGGCTGTATCAGGTAAGGCAAACTCTAGCCCTGGCAAGCCAACCGGAGGTGGGGGCCTCCTAGTCTTTCAGCAGGAGGACTGAGTGGAAGTGGTTGTTCCGTTCCCCTCTGCATTGTGCAGGAAGTCCACCCCATTGTCTGAGGCACTCGCCCGTCCCCACAGGATGCACTGTTAGGTGCAGTAACTATGCTGTTTAGGATTGGAGGGATTCTCTCCCTTGATGCTTATCACTGAGACTTATAGAACTTTCAAATAAAAGGCAGCTGTTCACACAGGTGGGGAAACATGGCCACTAAGAGAAATGTACATTATTTAAAAAAAACAAATTGAGTTACTTGGATTTCTCTTGATGATGAAAATTGTGAAGCGTAGTTTCTAGTGATTTTCCCCTCAAAATGCCAAAACAGAAATTAAGAAGCATTGAGGTGTTTATTCAGTGCACTTGATCTGCTCCAATGTCTTAAATAGTATCCATATCAAGAGTGATGGACTGAAGAGATAGTCCTAGGTATAATTACTTTGAACAGACTGAAAAAAAATTTTTTAAAAAAAGAAGGCAAATTTTTATACGTAAACCTAGAATGTTAAAATATGAATAGTAAAAATGTAATGATAATGTTAAAGACACATGCTTTCCCATTGATATGCTGAATCCTATTTCTACTACTATAGATTTTATCAGCTAGGGAATTTTTAAAAACTTATTGAAATTTGTAACTTTCTAGTTCGCTTTTAAGAAGCATCTAAAGCCTCGAGCACACAGAAAGAAGTAGGCTAGTGCCAGTTCTGTGTGTATAGCAACAAGAAAAAGAGAGGGTTATAGCAGAGCATTTTTTCTATTTTGCATTTTAAATGGAAAATTTTAAAGTTTAATTTAAAATATAATACCATCTTATGCCAAGTAACCTCAGCTCAAAGGAGTCTCCTTTGTGGTGGAACTTTAGTATGCATGAAATTCATCCAAAGAACTGGTTTTAAATGAAGGTTTAGGGAGACCTCCTACCACCATTTTCCCCGAGGGACTCTTGTTCAGTAGATTTCAGGTGGCACCAAGAAACCTGCATTCTGGCAAACTCATTTGCTTCAAAATGCTAGTTTCTGGGAACCACACTTGGAGAGACCCTGGTGGGAAGAACTCAGGTTCTGCGATCAGAAAGGACTGGGCTTGAAACCCAAGTGTGCCAGTTCCTAACCTTGTAGTCTTTAGCAAATTACTTAAGCTCTCTAAACCTCAAAAATGAGGGTAATATCTATATCACATTATTGTTGTGGACTCTAAAGGAATTGACATGTGTAAAGCACTTGTCACAGCACAATTCCACGTGTTTGACAAGTGTTAATTCCCCTTTTCCTTTTCTGAACCACAGAGAACTTAACACTCAGTACCTACTTAGGTAAATTACAGGAATATTCAGACCTTTGTGTATCAGGAAATAAACAATGAAATACAAATCAATCATGCCAGGCAATAGCTGCTGAGCCTAGACACGAATATCCTCTAAAAAGTTATCTTTTAAGGCAAAGCTATCCAATGATTAAGTCCATCCTCTGAAACATGCCTTGAAACAAAATTTGGTATAATTTGTTTGAATTCTGCAGTAATGTTGGTCCCAGGCCTGATTACTGGTGTTCTCAGCTGGCAGTGCCCAAGGTCATGGATTGTTAACCTGAGAAACTTGGAAGGTGCCCATCTGTGCTCCAAGTGCATGTTACAACATGCGGCAGGATTATTCTTTGGAGATGCATTTCCCTCAAACCCACCGTTTTTCATGGGGAATTGGCAATGAGGGCCAATATGAGGCCTCCCCTTTCCAGCTGTCTTTGGGTCCACACACCTCAGTATTTATTAGTGGTGCTCAGTCCCCTCCCTCTACCTGAACTCAGCATATCCACTCGCAATGCAGTTCGCAAGGGCCACTCACCCACGTCATAACCCAGTCTTCCTCTGACGGTCTCACTGTAAGTGTAAGGAAAAGCAACTGAACTTTTCTCTTTTTTGCTATCTTAAAAGCCCTGTTCCTTAGAATTGAATAATAGGGATTTTTATCCTAGCAGTAAAATGTAAACTGTAACTAAGGCCTTTATCTAAGACCTCTGAAAACACGACAGCTACAAGGGTGAGGAGTGCTGTGCTGGGGCAGACCAAGGGTCCGTTCCACCCACTTTCTCTTGTGGTGCCACCAACAAGCTCTTTTTGGGAGAATGCATCACCCACCATGATCTCAAATGATTAAGAATGTTCCATGACCCTTCCGTAGTTCTCCGTTAATATCCCAGCGCAATTCTCATACGTGTGGAGTTATCAAAATATTTCTGGAAGCTAGTTATCTTTTTATGTATATTGACATTTTATATACATTTATATATTTAGGCACTTAGAATTCAAAATTATCTAAGTTAGGACCATACAAACTTTCCTCTCTTACTCTCACAGGTTTGAGATTGAAATTGAGCCTCTGTTTGCCAGCATTGCCCTCTACGATGTTAAAGAAAGGAAAAAGGTAAGGAAGCAAACATAACCCATCCCTGGGGGCACACATACTGTGGATGAGTCTTTGAGTTTGCATTTTTAAATCTCACTTCTATTCAGCAAAAACACATCAGATTTGAAAGCAAATGACCTTTTTTGATACACCTGGTTCTGTTGCCTTTGCAGTTTTTGAGGGAATGATCTGGTAATGCTAGTTATTGATATTCTTTGACAGCTCTAAGGGAAAGCCTGCTGGAGGTTGGCCAGAGGATGGCTAGCGGCCTGGCTGGGATAAGAGAGGCATGATATTGCAGTGTAAGGGGCTACATGCAAAACAAGTCAACTTACACATTTTTAACAAGCTTGGATATACACGTAGTATTTCCTCATTTGGGGAGCCTTTTGCATTGTGAAGTAGGCTCATCATGAATGGAAGGTGCCTTGTGCAGTAGAAGTCTACATTTGCCACAGGGTGAAGGCCTCGCCAATGGGTAATGTGCTTTTAGTTGAAAATAATTGAAAGACCTAAGACGTCTCCATGGCTGTTTTATTGTTTAGTTATATTGTAACCCCTAGAGGAAGACAAAAGTAGCAAAACAAGAGTAAGATGGTTCTGCCCCTCTTTACCCATGACCATTCTGTATTTAGGGAAATTTAGGGATAAATATTAGTAATCACTGAGAATTGTGTAAGTTAGGGTAGGATAACTGCTAAAACCAGGAGACCCCCAAGTGCCCTAGTTTAAGGCATTAGTTCCTAAACTTGGCTGGGCATCACTGCCACCTGGAGAGCTTATTAAAACAGTGGTTAAACTCACCCTCAGAGGGTCTGACTCAGTAGGTCTGGGCGGGGCCTGAGGATGTGCATTTCGAACAGGTTCCCAGGTGATGTTGAAGCTGCTGGTCAGGGGATCACATTCTGCGAACCACAATCTTAAAGAGATCTCTGGCTTTGTTTCCCAACCAACCAGCGTAGGTGGCGCTGGATTAGCAGGGGTCTGAGACCCTGAGTCATTCAGAAGCCCAAGCTGGCAGTGGCTCCTCTGTCTCCAATGAGTGTTTCCCAAAGTCACTTTTGTCACTGCCATTGCAGCTCCTGGGGGAAAAAAAGGAGGTGGGAGGTGGGGGTGGATGGGGCAGGGGAAAGTGGTGGCAGGAAAATGGAGACAAATGTATTTGAACAATAAAAAAAATTTTTTAAACAAAAAAAGTGCAAATCATAATGCTTTAATAAAAGGGGGGACGGTAAAGATGGGTAAGGGCGGCCTAGATGCCTGACACATCACTTCTGCTCATAATTCCCTCCTAGCTGCAAGGGAGGATGGTAATTCTCCCTTTGCCTGAGCAGCCAATTCTCAGCTATGACACCGTTAGTGAAGAAGGGGGCAACCCAGCTAGGCAGTGGCTCGTAAGTAACGCTGCACTAGTGAGCTAAGGAGCGCTCATCATGCCATGCTCTTCCTCAGAACCTTTAACAGATCCTCTCTGCCGGCAACGTTAAATACAAACTCTTTATTCCCATGCCTGGCTTTCTTCAGTATGGCTCTGCCTTGCTCGCTTTCCCTCTAGAGCCTACACAGAGTCAAGCTGGACTAATCTGTTAACTGAGTTCACTCCAGGTTTTCCAGCCTCTGAGATAGTTCTGTGCTCCCCTCTCTCCCTGGTGCATGGTCCCCCTCCAGCACCGCCCAGCAGGACCTTCTTCCAAGGCCCACCTATCTTACTCTAAGGGAAGCATTCCTCATCGCCCCCGCTGAATGGGATCTTTCACCCTTTGTAACTTCCATGGCACGTTTTTATGTGAATAGGGTCACATATTTTGTTCTTCCTGTAGTTAGTTCTTCCTCGTTTTTGAAATAAACTAATTGAGGGCAGAGACAGTGTCCAGTCCTTCTTCAGAGCAGCACAGAGCACATCATCGGTACTGAGAAATTATTGGTGGGTTAATAAAAATTTTAATGCTTCAAGGAACATCTCTCAAACGACTCCAAAATATCTAGAGATTGTAACAAAGTATGTGTCAGGTTTTTCAACAGCCACTAGTCATGAACCATGTTTATGATTTTACCTATTCCTTTAGAGAAATTTCCTTGTGGTTTTTCACTCTCTTTTAAACATGTTTAGACCATGAGAGCAATAGCTCTAACTTTTTTTCTATTTGGCTACTTATTTACAGATCTCAGAAAATTTTCACTGTGACCTGAACTCTGACCAGTTCAAAGGATTTCTGCGGTTCCACACCCCCTCTGTTGCCCCTTCAAGTCAGGCAAGGTCTGCGGTATTCTCAGTCACCTATCCATCCTCAGACATCTACTTAGTAGTCAAGGTAAACAACACAATCTTATTTGCACATGCTCCTGTTCTCATTTCTGCATTATCTCCAGTGCATGTATCAGGTAAAAGAGGTGTCAGAACATACCTCTCTGTCTTCTGAGAGATTCAGTTTGTTTCCTTCATAACTTAATCTCTTCTCCTTTACAGGCAAATTCTGTGTTGAATACTAGAACAGCCATGGGTTTAAAAGTCATACAGTCCTAGTTTTGAAACCTGGCTTTACAATCCGGTTGTTACATGACCGTCGGTGCAATTACCTAACCTTTCTGAGACTGAGTTGCTCATCTGTAAAGTGGGGATAATAACACCACCCTCAATGGGTAGTTGTGAATACAACATAAAGCCTGGCACATTATAGACACCCTTCCTCCTAATCAAGGGGGGCACCCTCAGCTAACCAGCTCTCAGAGAGTTTCCTAATGATGTTCATACTTTTCTAGAGGACCACAGTTAAATGACCACAAGTCTAGGCTCTGACAATTGGAGGTATGGGATATATTTTCTAAGCTTTACTCTCCCTTTTTATTACCATCTCATAGACTGGGTATGTCTCGTGAGAATCAGAAATCTCTGGGGCAATTATATGCAGAAGGACCTTTTATTCTAGGCTGTGCTCTTTGCTGATGTAAGAAAACCAGAGACTTTCTCTGCACAGCAGAATGGCTGGTTAGAAATTAACAACAAACACTGAGTATTTTACCTACCTTAAGTGAAATAATTAGTTTCATCCACTCTTTACCCCACAATTGTAAACAAACAAACAAACAAAAAACAAGAATAAAAAAAGAAAACAGGCGATTTGATTTCATGAACACCCAGAGTTCCAGGTTTGATGCCCATGATCTCGTGAGCACCCCGTGATCGCAGGGGAGTAATATAAAGATTTCAAAAGAATTTAGGTGACTTGGAAGTCACTTAACAAGTAGCATAAGTCTTTCTATTCTAGCTTCTGTTCCCAAGACTCTGAAAGGCTACTATAGCTTGAAGGGAACTTATTTACACTTATAGAAGCTATAGGTGAAATTCTGTCACAAAATGATATATCTATTGTTGTCCAACTTTAATGTGTGTTCTTTTTGTTGCAGTATTACTTACACATACAGAAAAATTAACTTAAAGCTCATTCTATAAGCCATGTGGTTATTCAGAATCCACTTTAAGCCTGGGAAACCAAAGAAACCAACACTAGTTCTACAGAGCCAAATTTTACTTCAAACTCCACTTCTCAGTGGATAACTTTATTTTGGTTAAGCCATAGTAGTGCGCTAAATATCAGCAGTTACCTATGGAGTACTATTACTTACTAAATAGATTCAAAAAAAGTTTCAAATGTATAAATGCATTCATTTGGCATTAACAAACATTCTCTTAATTGTCTGGATAGAAATTTAAACCGACTCATACGGTCTCTGGTTTGCTTCTAACTTGTTTTCCCTTTCTGTAAGGCTATCACAATGCCATCTTTTCTTTCCCTCTAAATATATAGTAAATGGTATTGTAATATTTAGCACATTTATCCAGGAGGTGACCATTCAATAAAGAGAGACTCCTTTCTTATTTTTATTGCCAGGCTGAACACCGGGATATTAACTGTATTTTAGGTAGATTTACCTTGTTTAGTATTGCATGTGATATTTCTTTAAGGGGAGATTTCATCCTTAAAGGTTTTTCTCAACTGAAGGATGGAGAGTAAGGGTCAGACTGAATCTGGTGTAAAACTTTAAAAACAGACCTGCCAGGCATTGGCGTCTCCTGACCCTGAATAGAGCACAGGGTAGCCTTTTACCTTAAAAAAAAAATTCCAGGTGGTTCTGATGTGTTTCTTTCCCCTACCTACCATAGTTATTAGGACTCACTCATTTCTTTTACACATAAATCACAAAGGACTATGCAGTGGGCTCTCTTAGCAGCCTGCAGTTCCTTCTCATGAAGCAGCTGGAGTTGCCCTTATCCAACCTGGCGAGGGAAATGGTATCTGCTGGTCTGCTTCAATCTGAATTTTTTCATATCCAGATTCTGGAGATTCTGCTCCTGTGGGTTCCACACGTGAAGCCGTGGTATCCCTGTACCTTGCTTTAGGGTCCTAATGAAAAGGTTGTTCATCTCTTTTCAAAGTTTATTTTAAAGACCACATTTTTATCCATTGACTTCATGGAAAAATTAGCTTCCTTCCAATTTGATCTACAAGCTCCTATGAGCTTCAGGAGACTAGGAACCAGGTTCATAGTGTTCACCACCTTATCTCCCAGCAGCCACCACATGGAAGGTACCCAACAAATGTCTTTTGAACTGACAGATGATTGAATGATTGCTGACTAACAGGAATACCAGTCTCTAGCTCAAGTGTTATGTGTCTTTGTCTTCAACCTGGGGCATCTCTCAGGGGGATCAGTCTCGTCTTCATGCTCTGGCAGTGGCAAGGGGTTTTAAACTCCTTTTGTGAGAATAGAGTTCTTGCTTACATTCTCCGTGAGATAGACATCCACTGAGCGGTCCCATGTCTCTCCCTTTGAAACTCTGTTAAGCACCCTTTGGCACTAGGGTATTTCTGATAATACTGGTTAAGAATGGGTGCCTATTGGGATATGGTAACCCAGATTTCCTCTTCAAGAATCATCTCAACTAACGATACAGACATTTAATGGGACTAAATCACTCGTTTTTCTCCTCAACAGCCAAGTTAATTTACATTTTCTTTGAATAGAGGGTTAGGGCATTTCAATTTTCTCCATTCCTTTCCCGTAAATATGGTGCCCAAATTTTGGACCAGCCAGATCCCTTACCTGAAGCAAAAGCAGAGAAGATATTTGACAGTGGTAGCATTTTCATATTGCCAGCCAGTTAGTAAAGTAAAAAGCTGCACTATCCCACTGCTTTTGATTTCTGTCCAAGTCTGTAAAACCCAGAAAAGCAGCCCTAATAGGAAATACAAGGGAGACAATTACAGATAATTTATTCTGTTCATTTATTCATTTTGTGGAAGGTTTGAGTCCCCAGCCTGACTTTTACAGAGGTCATATCTCTTTTTTACATTGTAAGCAATAATAAAGAAAATGAGCTTTTCACTTTCTACATATGTCTTATGGGTTTTGTTTTATAAAATAATTTTTATTGCATTTTTATTGTAGGCATAATACATGTTTATTGTTTAAAAATAGAAAATACACATAAGCAATAGGAATAAAATAAACAGCACATAATGCCATCATATAAAGTTAACATTTGCTGTGTATCTACTATCATCTTTTCAATATGCCTTTATGGTTTTTTTTTAACAAAACTATATAGTACTTTTTATACTAGTTTTCGAAATAAAAAATAAATCACAGGTATATTCCCATGTCATCAAATATTTTAACAAAGCCTGATTTTGATAGTTGCATAGATTCCATTATATGGATATAATTTATGATGGTGTTTTAATATTATTTTTGTTGGTAGATTGAAAAAGTTCTTCAGCAGGGAGAGATTGGGGACTGTGCAGAACCCTACATGGTTATCAAAGAAAGTGACGGTGGAAAGGTATGATATTTTGAGTGTTGCTAAATGGTGACATCTTAAAATAAACAGGTATTTTTCAGAAGTGTTCCGCAATATAGCTTAACGGGGTCTAGTCCATAATATGTTCCCATATGAGATACTAATAAATTGTATTTAAACCAAAGAAGGAAGAGAAACTGGTAATTGATGATAACTTTTTAAAGAAATAAATTATTAAACTCAACAATTGATGACATATATACTAATGTCTAATTGTAACACTTAACCAGGGCAAAGCCACGCCCTTGGCCTTGGCTGAGGCGCTGACCCAGCTGGTTGGGAGGCCCGTGGAGGCCCTGTGAGACGGCACAGGGCCAGAGCTCTCCCGGCGTCTCTCAACAGCGTGGGCCTCCGTCCTTTCTGGTGTGGGTGTTTGGAAACTGGCTGAGATTATTGTACCTAATAAATTCTTTAGTACAACATAGGTACCGAACCTGTGAAAAGGACATCTCTTCTCAGCACCCAACGTGGTTTTTACGACATGGCCTTTCCGGACTAAGACTTGCCCAATCAGCATCACTGTAGATTTATAAACTTCAAAGAAGATTTACTGAACTCAAGACATTTTTTTTTAAATCTACTTTTTATTCTAAACTTAGAAAGAATACTTGGGAAGTGTTCTTCACCTAATAACTTATTAGGAACCTTCATAGATCTTTCCGGAGTTTTCCAAGGCAACTTAACAGAAACAGGCTCTTGTTAGAGTTTGTTTCTCTTGCAAATTCAAGCCGTGTAACTAGCCCCTAAAACCACCAGTTGTTGATTAGCTTGCATAAGACTTGCACCTTTTTTTTTTTTAGCTGAAGGTATATTTAATAGTTGAATGTAGTCTTTCCTTAAACTCCTCTTTTAATTTGTATTTCCTTATTAATTATACTTCGGGCCTAAGTTGTGTCATTTTTCTGCCTATTCCCTCTTTCCAACCAGTAGGATAGGGATTGGAAATGCCCGTCAGGGCCACGGCAGGGCAGCTGGCCTGATACTGGTGCCCCATGGTTTGTTTCTGCTTGTCTGTTTCCATTTTCTTCTAGAGTAAAGAAAAGATTGAAAAACTAAAACATCAAGCTGAAATCTTCTGCCAACGTTTGGGGAAATACCGGATGCCCTTTGCTTGGGCCCCCATAAGCATAGCGAACTTCTTCAATATGTCCACCCTGGACAGGGAGGTAACCGATGCGGAGTCCATGGTTGGTAAGATTTTCAGCTGCAGTGGGAAGGGTTGGGCTCCCCAGTATACCACCGCTGAGGTCAACTGCTTCTTAGTGGGGCTTGCGGTACAGTAATGTGTGGGAAATGGGACAGAAGAAGATTAATAGGTTAAAACACTATTATGGCTGGATTACACATGCACAATTAGACAATAATTCCCCCAAGTTATCATGAATGTTTGTGGAGTTTAAGTACTTTTAGAGTAAGATTTTTGGCTGGAATTTTCTGGAAATATAGTTTAAAAACTTGACTTTAAGTAGCTATCTGGTCTTAAAAGTAAAATTCTTGAAAATAATAAGAAAATGTTAACTATCTATGGTGTATTAAACAAAGGCACCATAATTGGCTCCAAAAATAAGAAGAACCACAGTCACAGAGGTTTCAAAAAGCAAAACTCAGGTTTCTCAGCAAATTTTCCAGTCCCTTAAAGTTTATTTTGCCAGGCAATGAAAAAGTGGATGCCAAAAGAATACTTAGTTGCTGTTCCAATTTATTTAACATGTTTCTTTTTCATCACCTCACCCTTGATATGAATCATTAAATTTTAAAACAGGTTGGATCTGAGGCTCTTCAAAAGGGTTATAGAATTTTCAAGTAGACCCACCCCTACTTGTGGCAGAGTTTCTATTTTCCTAAACGTCTTTGGATCCAACAAATACTTAAGGCTAGAGTCACAGTTCTCGTGACGTTTCTCGTGGGTTCCTTAGCTCTGCCATCTCTGAAATGTTGCCTTTAGCAGAGAAGTGGAGGAAAGGGTATTTTGTTATTGCTGCTGCTATTCTGGAGGTATTGCAGCATAATTACCAGTCAGAAATCCTGGGTTTTTTTTTTTCTGATTTATCAATAACAAACCTCACTTGAGTGAGTCCTGACCTTCACACCACAGTTTGTTTTTTTTTCCAATGCCAACCTCCCCTGTAGACCCAGGTAGTCATATATGAAAGAGTTCTGCATTGAGCCTAGAGAACACTATAAATGAGATGACTCCATAAATTCAGGCATAGGGCTCATGGAGCCGTTAGTAATCTCTAGGTCAAGGATAAATTAATCTGATTACAGAGGCTAATTCTTAAGAAACAACATGAAGAGGCAGTATAGCAAGTTTAGATGGGCCATAGTAGCAAGAAGCACCAATTTGGCATCACAGCAAGAATTTGGGATAAGAGAATATTCAAAGACAGGGTTGGCAATATTAGAGTTCTATGCAATTTGACTACTCACAACAGAACCCTCGAGTTTTGCAGTAAAAAAGAAAAAAAATCCGCCCCTAAATCTCAAAAGGGGATAAGAAACAACTAAGCAGAGTATTAGGGTCCAGCCCCAGTTTGGGTGTGACTCAGGGTTCTAACCCCCATGAGGGAAGTCAGCCAGGTCTGCTGTCTGCCTGAGAGCAGGAGAAAGCTGGGATTCAGAACATACTTGGGCTGACCCTAGCATGTTTGGGTCACAATCCCAAATGCCTTAAAGGGCATTTGAGAACATGCCTCTCCCAATGGAATGAAATGTAAAAATAAAAAAAAACAAAACAAACACTGTTACTAAATAAAGCTCATCTGCACACCCTGTTCTGGCTGCAGTTCAGGACTCCTGCTGGGTGGCATCTGGTGTAGCCTCTATGAGGAAGGGGACTGCCACTGCTCAGGGCTCCTCCACTCTGGTCAAAGGGGGAGTAGGGATGCCCCAGAGGTCTAAGAAAGGTAGGGGTCAGTGGAGGGAAATTTTTATTCAAAACTAGAACGGCCATTTTCAGTATTGTTTTTCAATAACTTTAAACGTGTACGAGGTCTGTCCAGAAAGTATCTAGCCATGTACTATGAAAAATAGAGACATTTGTTGAAGAAGGTACAAGATACAAGAAACATTGTACATAGGACAATGACCCCTCAGTCTTCTTCAAAGTAGGCACCTTGGGACCTCACACAGTTCTCCCAGTCTCCATCAGCTGCCCCGTCATATTTTCCTGAATCTCATCGACTGTCTGAAACCTCTTCCCTTTCAAAGGTGATTTTGGTTTGGAGAAAAGTCTGGAGCCACAGGGCACCAAATCTGGGCTGTAGAGGGGCTGAGTCACCTGGGTTACTTGATGTTTCACAAAAAAACTCTGCACAAGACGTGATGAATGAGCAGGCGCATTGTTGTGATAAAGCTGCCAGTCATCAGGTGCCCATAGCTGTGGCCTTCTGAATCATCTGAATAGTTTCCACAGAGGAATGTTCAAGCTTAATGCAAAATTTGATGCAGAATCGTTGCTGTACTCAATTCACTCAGTCATTTTGAATACAACACATGCTCACTCAGTGGCATCGACCACCCCCCACTGATTCGTACAGTGAAGTCATCATTGTTCACACATGCACATTCCAGTCCACTCGCCTTGGCTGCCAGGTTACATTGATGTCATGCAAGCTGTTCTCGTTATACTAACAATGATTGGACTTTTTCTGGACAAACCTCTTATATGGTAAAGTTAATAATTGCTGGGTATCAAACAGAAGGGCAAACTTTAGAATGACAGTTGTTTCTCTTAAAGGAAGAGGCTCTGTGGGTGAGCGGAGAACCTTGTCCCAATCTAGAAGGCTTTCTGAAAGAGCCCTCTCCTTGGAGGAAAATGGGGCTGGATCCAACTTCAAGACCACCACCATGACCATTAACAGCTTTTACAAGCAGGTATCTGTCTGTACTACAATATGTCTGGGTTTGTGCCCATAATGTCATGGGTTTTGGAGTCCAAAGGGGTAGTATATGTAGCGAATAAGAGAACAAGTTGGTTAACCTTGCCAAACCTAAATTTTGTTATCTACAAAACAGGGATGATGGTGCCTGCTTCATGAGGCTTTACGGAGGATTAGATGACATGAGTCAGGTAAAGCTCTTCCCAGAGTGCCTGGGATAGGGCAAGTGCTCAACAAGGGTTAGCTCTTTCAACTGAGAGAAGGATTCACTCCCATCAATACGAATTCTCCTGTTTGAACTCTCATGGTCCATTCATTTATTAGACTATGAGAACAGTCTGGCTGCAACATTGTTCCCCTTGGTCTCAGGGTTTCCTGGCCTGGCTGTTGTCCTTCTCACCACTATTCCATGTGCATTCGGCAGGGCTGCCCGACTTGGTCAGGGAGGGTGCCCATTGCAGACGGTGCTCTTTGTAAGCTCAGTAAACACTGAGACTTAACAAACAAAACATTTCCTAAGAGTAACGAATTCATAGAGGCAGAAAGTAGAATGATGGTTGTGGGGGACTGCAGGAAGGAGTGAATAGGCAGCTGTTGTTTAAAACGTACAGAGTTTCAGTTTTGCAATATGAAAACTCTGGAAATTGGTTGCACAACAATGTAAATGTACTTAACACTACAGAACTGAACACTCAGAAATGGTTAAGATGGCAAATTTTATATTATGTGCATTTTTTCTACGAAAAAAAACTCAACCCCACTTTAGATTTGGTTTGACTCTGTCTTAGAAAACTTTCCTTAGCACAGTCTTCATGGGGCATTTCAAGGGATTATGTTAATAAGCTGCAATTCAAAAGGGATGAGGGGTCTATATACCATGTCACATAATAGCATGGGACTAAAAGAGTTTATATTCCAGATATACTTCCAATTATATTTACTTGGTGGTGGTGGGTGGGTTGGGCATTGGACAAAGTACTTAACTAAGCCTGAGTTTTCTCATCTGTGCTTGGGAATAAGATACACCTACCTACCTACCTACCTACCTACCTTAACAGGCTGTTGTGAGTGTTGGGGCTCTTGCCCATGGACCTCTTGGTAGAGGGCCTGTCCCATGGAGGCACATAGAGCATAGTATTCATGCTTAGCCTTCTTAGCCAAAACGAATGTGAAAAAAATGATAGGAAAAAATAGAAAGATGCTTTCCCCATCTTTAAATATTTGAAGAAGGAAGTAAACTTATTCTGTATCATCCCAGGGAGTAAAACAAGCATCAGTGATCTTAAATTATAAGGGGAGATGCTTTGGGCCTAGATTTCTAATGGTCAAATAGACTTCCTTGGAACACAATAGAAGCCCAGTCCCCAGAAGGATTGATGAGAGACTGAGTGACAGTAGCTCCAGGAGTAGTAGAGAAGGAATATTTGACAAGAGGTTGACCTAAATGACTTTGGCATTGCCCATAATCCTAATTTCTATGAAAGACATGTTAAAATAAAATTTAAAGATAAAAATCTTCCCATAAGTCATTGGTCCCTAGTCCAGGAGCCAGTGGTACATCTACTCTAACCTTGATTTTTCTCTTGGCAGGAGGGTGATCGCCTAAGTGATGAAGACTTATTCAAGTTTTTAGCTGACTACAAGAGATCTTCATCCTTACAGAGAAGAGTCAAGTCAATTCCAGGTTTGGATGACTTGTCATTATCTTAAGCTTTGCCAAAGACATTTATAATTAGATACATTACTTGTCTAATACTATAATTTATAAAATTATGCTTATCAAACAAAATGTGGGATTTTACATTAGGAGTTGAGTAAGAGTCGGTCTACTTTTTTGGAAGCTCTATTAATATTTTCTATTCTATCAAAGGATTGATTCTGCCCTGGCCAGTGTGGCTCAGTTGGTTGGAGCATTGTCCTATAAACTGACAGGTTGCTGGTTCGATTCCCAGTCAGGGTATATGCCTACGTTGCAGGTGTGATCCCTGGTTGGGTGTGTATGAGAGGCAACTGATTGATGTCATTCTCTGGCATCAATGTTTCTCTCCCTTCTCTTCCTCCCTTCCTTTCTCTCTCTAAAATCAATAAGCATGTTCTTGGGTGAGGATTAAAAAAAGAAATACAAATAAAAAAAATAAAGGATTGATTCTGTAAAAAAAAACATGCTTTAGATCTGGTTTCTCAGATAATCATATAATTGAACACAGGAGGCTTTTTCATCATATAAAACATACTGAACTCTTCATAGAAGTGAAAGTGAGATGCTTTGGTGGAAGATGAGGACACTTTCCTTATCCTCAGCTTGTAGCCTCTGAGGCACTTCTGCAGTACCCTGGGGCACGAGAGAACCCAGTTTGGAAACCATCAATATTTACTTACATATGTACTGTTATAGTGTGATAGTTCAGGAAGGAAATTTAAAGATCTTCTAACCTACTTCTACCCATTCTACAATTTCTTCCTTTTTAATTTCTAGAAACTAAATCTCAAAAGTTGTCATGACCTGCTTTGCATCCAGCTCTAGGAAATTAGCTGGGAATTGCAAAACTCTCCCACTCCCACAATTTACCCTTATTTTCATAAAATAAATATGCCCCAATAATCTTTCTTGATTCCTTTGTAACATGACAGTGTCTTTACTAAAGCAGTCCTATTTTCTCTCCTTAGGTTTGCTCAGGCTGGAGATTTCTCTAGCTCCAGAAGTAATCAATTGTTGTCTGACTCCTGAACTACTGCCCGTGAAACCCTCCCCTGAAAACCGAACACGTCCACACAAAGAGATTTTGGAATTTCCAATTCGGGAGGTATACGTCCCTCACACTGTGTACAGGTAAGAAACAAAGACCCTTGGGAAACCGTTGAACCCAAATTCACAGTTTTGTTTGCATAATGCCTTCATCATCCTTCGATCCACCTTCCTACTAAGTTTTTAGAGAAATGAAATCCGATGTTTACCGAAGTGTAGATAATTGCTAGATCACTTTCTAAAAATCATTATCTAATTTTTTTAAATAAGAAAGTGTTACTTCAGTCCTAATTGGAATCTAGGATTATAGCAGGCATATTCCTTCCAGAAATGAAAAAAATCTTCCTAATCATTGCCTTGGTTTTCTTATGTGCATAAGAATATATTCGAGAAAGAGCAATGTGACAAAAAATGTTCTTGGTATCACCAGACGGGTTTTTACCTTGAGACCAGCTCTGTCCAATAGAATCTATAGCAATGATAGAAATGTTCTGTATGTGTGCCCAATGTAATAGCTGCTAGCCACATGTGACTATTAAGCATTTGAAATGTAGCTAGGGCAGTGGAGGAACTGAAATTTTAATTGTATTTAACTTTAATTCATTTGAATTTCAATCCAAGTAGCTGTAAGTGGCTGGTGGCTACCATATTGGACAGAATGGAGCTAGACAGTAAAGACCTAAAGGTTAGGCTTCCTCTGTTTCTTAGAGGCCCTTGACTTGGGGCTGGGAGGGAACTTGTCAACATACATCTGCCAAAGCCATTGCTTTTAAAAAGGACTTTTTTAATGCAGAGAAGAATGCTGTAACCATCACCTTTTCTCCACCATTTGGAAATGACACTGTGTGTGTACAGTTGGACTGATTAAGTTGAAGTTTCCTTATCCCCAGTCTCTAGTCATAGACTTCCACCTTGCCGCCAAAATGTCCGTGGTAAACCTCTGTGTGTCCTGCCTTCCTCTTTCTCCTGTTTTGCACACATACATATGTATGTATATATGTATCTGTGAACACCAAATGGTATTATTTTTATATTCATTTTTTTAAAGAAAGGACTACTATTTATTTATTTACTTGTTTGTTTGTTTATTAGAGAAGGAGAGAAAGGGAGTGAGAAAGAGAGGGAGAGGAACATCAATGTGAGAGAGAAACATTAATCAGTTGTCCCTTGTATGTGCCTCAACTGGGGACCAACACTGGAACCGAGGCAGGTGCCCTGAGCAGGAACCGAACTAGCGACCTTTCACTTTGTGGGATGACACCCAACCAACTGAGCCACACTGGTCAGCGTTTTATATTCATTTTAAACGTCCATAAATGGCTGCACACTCTGTGTGTTACACTGTGCTTTTCATCCTACAGTATGACTTTTTCTTTTTTTATTACTGTGGGATCATGAATTTTATTGATTCAATGTATACACTCAGTTACAGTCATTATCCTTTGTAGGTACTTAGATTTTCACAAATTTAATGAATAGGAATTACTTGACAGCTTGTATTTTAGAAATATTAAGATTGATTTATAGAGATTTGTCATAATTTTAAACTGCCATATAGTATTCCTTTGTGTAAAGAGAAATTATTTATCCATTTTATTCTTTTTTTAATTGATAGACATTTATGTGATTTTCCCAATTTGGCGCTCTTACAAACACTGTCCAGTGAGAATTTTTGTCTTTGTCTCTCTGGGCCCATGTATGAATGTTTTCCTGGGGAATAAGCCTGCAAGTGAAATTACTGGGTCATAAGTGATATATATTTTAAGTTTTATTTATACTGCCACTTTTTTCCAAAATTGTACCAGTTTGCAATCCTTCTAGCAGTGTAAGAGAGTTGTGATTCCCCCAGACCCTCCCCTACGCTTTCCAGTATGATTTGTGTGTATGCGGGACTGAAATGCAAAGACTTTCAAAAATTACCAAACCCAAACACAGCCTCCTCCACATTTCCAGATGCACAAAATTGAGACCCAGATAGGAAAAGTGAGTGGTTCACTGAGGTCAAAAACTACAGTGAGAAATACAAACTCCCATCCACACAATTAGAAATGAAGCTCTTCCTTTCAGCATTGGTGAAGTACCATCTCCTCCACTTAATCCTTTCTGAAGCAGCTCTTCCTTTTCCATTCTTAATCCTTAACTATAAACTAAACCCAAGTCCCCATCCTAGATAAATAACCATTCCTAGGAGGTAGTAGTTTCATCTCTCATTCCCTAGAGGGGGATGAAGGCATAAAAATGCTTGCTTATGGATGCTGTGTATGTATCTTTAGAAACCCTATCCTATAATTGGAAAAAAAAAATGCTTGTGGAATTGGAATAAACTTTCACCAAATGAATTCGATAGTTATTCAGCTTCCCTTCAGCATTTAATCTCCCATGGGAAGCATTTACAACTCTCTACTCCTTGCTGCAAGCATTACCCTTAATTATATCACAGCAGGACTCAGAATGCATTAGCTTGCCAGGTGATTCAGAAATGTAGGACTGCTAAGGAGAACAAGTCTGGGATTACTATGGGTCCAACTTGGCTTCATGAGAAATAGACCCACGAGTGCAAAGTGAATATTCTTTAAGCTGTTCTGCACCCTATAAAAATGCCAAAGCCACACTTTAAAAACTAGGTTGCTATCCTTGGGAATGATAAAAGAAAACACTTTCCTCCAGTTTGGCTATAGCATCTTCTGTTGGCTCCCAGCCCACCATATTTTATACCTTGTTTAAGGAACAAGAGCTATAGTGAACTTGGTTCAGAATCTCACTATGTGAAAACTTCAAGGAATTTAGAGAACATGTTGTTTAAATCTCTCATAGTGTTGTTAATTTCTTCATATTTCTTCTCCAGGCCTCACATGATTTGTAATGGTTCTGTTTAGGTCAGTAGTGACAGTAACCAGTCCTAGATAATTCTCCCTTTTCCTACACCTCCACTGCCATTTCACAAAATGGACATGGAAGACCCAAGTCAGGTCTGACCCTGATGTCAAATTGGGAGGTTGACTCATTTTGCCTTTGGTGGCCTAGTCTTCTCATTTTTGTCCATTTTCCCTTTTCTTTGTTCCTTGCCATCTCCCTGTACCTCAAAAAACTTAAAACCTCATGGCTTTTCTGCCTCCTTCCACCTGCAAATCAAAGTCTCTTTTCACGCAAAGGTCTCTTAATTTATCTACATTATGGTGTCAATAATAGAGACCTATCAATAATAGGTTCTTTAACCAGTTATAAGGCCTAATGCCTTATCTCTCCCAAGAGTATTATTTCAGTAGGGACAGTAGTTCCTGTTTCATTTAGAAAAGTTTTCCTTCAACATAGTTGAATTCTGCTCACCATTCTAAGGGATCAGTACGTAGGGTAACCGACCCCATTAACATTGCAATTTCTTGGGCCTGGCTATATCCCTTGCAGGAAATTGAACAAATGAAAATTAAGATTTACAGAACAGATAAATTCAGGAATAATTCTTTGTTTGATAGAGGATTCATCTAATGAATATAAAAATATGGTTTGACTTATAAAAATTTTATCTATCTGGAACTAATGGAGAATATACCTATGAGGCCAAGGAAGGGTTGCCTGCAGTGACAAAGCCAGGATTCAAAGTTCAAATTTGTGTACTTTTCACATAAACTCAGAGCCCCCTTGGGTGGAGGGAATTATTATATGGCTCTAAAGGCAGATGTTGTCTGGCCTTCAGTATGAGTGGTGGCCAGAGTCACACATTACAGGATTCTAATATGGGTGAAATTTCAATTTAACACCGCTTGAGTAGAACTCAGATTACTTTCATCTCTCTTAAAGGAGCAGGTACCATGGAACCTCAAACAAAATTGGCTTCCCTCAATCTCCCCATTCTCCTACCTCTTCCGGTGCCTCCTCTGATTGCCCTACCCTTTCTGGTGCCTTCAGTCAGGGACACCATATTGTACCACAACCAGCACCATTCACATTATGTTCTCTGTAGATGCTGACCTTACTCTTACTGCTTTAAGGAGCAATCTAGATCAGTTACAAAAGAACTGTGCTGGACTCAGAAACATCCCATATGCCAGCAACGGTTGGTCACTGATAAAACAAATACCTTTCTCTAAGGGAAGAGATGACCTTCTAGAGCCAGAAGTGCTGATCCCAGGAATGGCCAGTGTCTCCCAGACCAGGGACCCCTCTGCTGTGCCATGAGCCACCTTGATGGGTTAGAGGCATGGAGCCAGATAAGTGTTCCCTGAAACAGACCCAGGCTTTTGCATAATCACAAACAGAGGGCAGGAATTCTGAAGTAGAGCAGAACAGCTGGAAAAATTAGGTTGATAAATAGGATTACCTAAATCTGAATTTAACATTCCTTTCCCCACGCCCAGATTAAGAAAACACTAGTTGTTAGCCCAGGAACACGTTTGGACTTATTTTCCATGTGGCCCAGCAGCTGGTAATGGAGATGCCAGCTGCCTTCTGGTGGGGGCAGAATGAAAACAGCATAGGCTGGGGCCAAGGCCTAGTGAGACCTTAAAGGACATTTTATTCTGTGGCTGCCACGGGGGTGTGTACAGAGATCACAGTTGCTGAGTTTGTAATGAGCTCGTTAAGCTCCTTGCCATCCCTTTAACTGGTGGTTACATTATTGGAAGCCACATAAAGTGCATTGTCATTTCCAGCCCCCAGAGCCTCTGAAGTCTCTTTAACCAGTTGTCAGACTTGCCATGGACGATGGTGCTTGCCGAGCACAGGCCTATCAGTTAGAACATGATTTCTTTGGTGGATAATTAGCTGTTTTCAGGCCTCCTCGTAATCAGCTGAATGTTCTCAGTCTGGAAGTCTACCTTCTCAAAGCTGCCTGTTAAGTGGTCTAATAGAGTGGTGCCTCCCATGTCACAGTGGAGTTTTGAGGAATACTGCCAGCCTTGCATCATACAGGGGCAAAAAGAATGGCACAGAATAAACGTGCAAGCTGATCTTGAATGAATGCCTGCAAGTTGTAATGGAAAAGAATAGGATTTCTAAGGGAAGGAATGAACCAGAAATAATTCCGGACGAAATGGTTAGGAAGGAGCTGGGACATAGGGAATGGAAGCTGTCCTGGAGAGGCGCTT